CCAGGCTGGGTCACGCTGCCTGCTAATGAAACAGCACCCACGCCGGGGAAATGAGAGTAAAACCCCTAGATCGTGTCGAGGGGAGACCCCAGGAGACTCTAATCTATTGGCAGAGTTAAGGCTATAATATTCTATCTACATAGGATGGCTGAATCCCTAGTGGTCTCTGGGTCTGAAAAACAAGCGAGGACGATGGCAATGGCTTGAAGAGCAGCAAGGGTCCTGTGCCCTCAGGGAAACGTTCCCTCTGGCCAGCCCATGCTGGCATTTGATTCAGCCAGGGCTGGGCTCCCTGCCCCTCCCACCTCTCCCAGAGACAGAGGGCAAGTTTGCAAGCAAATTTTGGGGTGGTGCTGCTTAAGCAAGCCTTAAATCCAGCACCGCTGGGCAGCCCCAAAAGCCCCTGGCCAGAGGCAGAGCAGGCAAGCTTGCCACGGGGCACTGGCAGGCCTGGGGGAGGGAACCTGGGTGCCAACTGGGTGCTGGGGAAGTGTATGGCTTATCTGGTACAGGGCAGGGCGCGGGCAGGGCGTTCGGTGTGGCTCTGCCTCTCTGGATTTTGGGCTGGCTGCTGGATGGGGATCACAGACATGTCTTCTCGCCCTGCTTGCTTTGCAGAGGGTGGAAGTGAGCAGGCACCAGCCCAGATGGTGCCTCAGCCACCTAAGGAGCCAGAGAGAAGCCAGCTCCCTCACAAGGGCCCGCAGGCACCCATTGCCCACGCTGTGTCAGCAGGACCCACCGGATCAAGCCTGGCCGGCTCCAGGCCCCTGGCCCCTCTCTCCTGGCTCTCTTTCCTTCACACCAGCTAAGCCCCACAGCGAGAATGGCTCAGGGTTGGTGTGCCCCACGGTGAGAAGGGCACAGGGGCCGACATGCCCCATGGCGAGAAGGGCACGGGCCTGGCAGGCCCCACGATGAGAAGGACACGGAGCCGACGTGCCCCATGTCGAGAAGGGCATGGGCCTGGCAGGCCCCACCACTCACTGGCTCCATCACGCACCAGCACCGAGCTCAGCATCCAGGCGCCGCGAGCTGGCCGGGACAGTAGCTGGGGCCGGGCAATCAGGAAGAATGGCTTTAACAGAAAAGTGGGCGACCCCAAGGTGACCGCCGAGCACCCCGGATTGCCGGCGGGGAGGCAGATGCCTCCACGGCCAATGGGCGAACGCTGGCTCCGTGACTCTGCTCTGACCCCCCATTTGCTGAGTGGCAAGTGCCTCATTACAGTGCATAGTTAAAAATCAAGGAAGCGGTACAATAAATCTGAATTACAGTACATCTGAGCCATAAATACATTTTTTTTTAAGTATATACTTTTTTTTTCTCTTCTTCTTCTATTAAAAATTAGTTTATAATCCTGATTCTATTCACAATTAACAATTTCATCATCACACACTACGGACAAGAAAATGTTATGGTGAACACAGCTGCAACTCCACGGCGGGAGCATGGGGAGGTGGGGGGAGAGGACCCGGGGGGGCCCCTAGGCTCCCCCTAAACGAACCCGGCCGCA